GTGTGTGTGTGTGTGTGTGTGTGTGTGTGTGTGTGTGTGTGTGTGTGTGTGTGTGTGTGTGTGTGTGTGTGTGTGTGTGTGTGTGTGTGTGTGTGTGTGTGTGTGTGTGTGTGTGTGTGTGTGTGTGTGTGTGTGTGTATGTGTGTAACCGATTGTCCACATCGGAAATCGATGCTCGTTATCGCTCTCTTCCGCTTATCACTTCCAATACGTAATTTTATCCGCGGGCACTAATCTCGTTAGCGAAGGTTTCACACTGTGTGCATGGGATCGTGATCAATTATTTCGCTCTCTCACCTTCTGTTGTCTCATTGCATGATAAGGAGTAGACGACATCTCCGGGACGACATCTATTCTGCGAATGGCTGCCTATAAGCTGCGAGATGGATCTAAATCAACAGTTAGAGATTGTCCAACAAATCGAATCTCTAAACTTAATTGTCTATGCCCGCGTTTAATTAATCGGATCGTCGATTGCAAAACTGCCGCTATAAATATGGGTCTAGGCAACGCTGTAGTAGAGTTCGTGTAGTTGTTGTTATTTAATTATAAACCAATCCACGCTCTCGATGGTTGCACATGTCAGTATATGAGCACTGGATGATTGCGTTTCTTGTCGCGTGCAGTAGACCGTTAGATGCGCGCCTGTGTTTATGCCAGGGGAATAGTACCATATGAATACTGTTATAATAACTAGAGAGTGGGCGAGCGTGTACGCATAGCGATATATGTTTGTTCATCACATCAGGAATGGCCGCTGGGGAGCCGACCCTGGAGCCTGCAAGTATCCGCGGATGTAAGATAACGGGGCATCTATATTATCCTACTCTTAGTACTCTATATAATATATATATATATATATATATATATATATATATATATATATATATGGGCGCTCGCTGAAGATTCGTGTTTTCATGAGTCATATACATGCACGTAGCCCGTAGAAGTGTGCATCATGCCGGGGGACTTGCTTGCATGAAGCCTCCTAGTGTAATTCATGCTAACTATTTCATAGTATGGTCAGATAAGATGGTCAATGAATTTCTGGTCGACCAAAAATTAAGATACCTACTGATACTATAGAATAATAACTAAAGCAAATATTTATTTTATAAATTGTTGCGATTCAACAATGTAGCTGCATCACAACTGATCACCCCCCCCCCGCCATTACACGATCGAGGTACGCTATACAATTTATATAGATGTTACAATATATATGCCTGATATATATATATATATATATAGGCCTAGCTACACTATATTTTTTTATGATTCGACCAGGAGCTTTTAAATGGCTTATAAATGGAATCCATTTATAAGCTCCTGATTGGATAGAAGATTAGATAGATTAGATTGGATTGTTTGGATAGAAAAGGTGTCTCTCTACGCTCACGATGAAAATAATCATTAAAAAATTCATCGCTGATTATAGCTATTAAAAATTTATAAAAAAAGAAGCTTTTTTGCTTATTTCTTAAAAACAGCAATGAGTTGGAACCTAAACTTTTAGCCATAAGTTGATGTCTATGATGATATCAGGGGCTAAATAATGACAGATTATCTACGGCCCACCCTAGCTCGACGAGGATTGTCTAGTCTATACAGTCTATACGGACTTCTAACCCTAGCAAGATCATAGACTGGTCCGCGCTCGACAGTTCCACTCGCGTTTTTACACTGCCGTTTCTTGGAGCTACGGCCCACCCCAGCGAGCGTCACGACACCACGGTGTTGCCAAGTAACCGATCTGAGCGAGAGCGATCAAGGGAGAAAATGGGAATCGGGGTTCGTCAACGTTTCAACCAAAATAGGCTGCAGCGGCAGCAACAATCGATTTAGATATCTGTATCTATATTTACATACCTAAATATGTATAAAGTCTACGTTTTCGTCCATATATAAATCTACATATAACGTGTTTGCCCACAACAGGTCGATAATTCCTCACAGAATAGCATCGCACCAGCACCTGTTGCGCGCCCCTCATTCCCTCGCCGCCTTCTCCGGATTGAGTGAATGGTTGGACTGTTCCGTAGTATACAATAGAAATTTACAACTTGCCAAGAGTTTGACGTAGGTGTGGTTCGGAGTGGAGGTTCAGACATGAAATATTTGGCAGTGGTTGCCTTGCAGATCTTCTACACGCTGTCGAGAATTGGGGCTGTTAGTACTAGTAGTACTGACCAGTGTAAGTGTTCGTAATCTAACAATAATAACAGTACCGTAGGGGGCCTACCTTGCAGGAAGCGTAACATTACTACGTCATTAGTTTTCGAGTCATGTAGCCGTCTAAAGGCAGTGTGGTGAAGCTGTCGAGCAAACTGCGATATATCGAGCTAAATGCGAGTTGGCTGTTTCACTTTATCCTTACCATAGAATTTAGAAATTTGCCATCTAAAGTCTATAAAATATGCAGGAGATTGCATTCGCTATATTATCAATACTGCTATAGTTCTAGCTCTAGTAACTATAGCCCGCGTACAGTTGCCGCAGGCACAGTTGCCGCGGCAACTGTACGCGGGCTATAGTTACTAGAGCTACTATAGTTCTAGCCCGCCGATGGCGATGCTGTGCGACTGATTGGCTGTCTATACAAAGTGATACAAAGCGTCATAGTAATACAAAGTGATTATAGCAAGACCGTTTCTTGGAGCTAATATAGTTCCTGAGTTAGCTTCATGTATGACTATTCTGGAATTGCGTGAGATTGAAAGGAGAAATTCTGAACCACGTACAATTTTCAAATCTATATGTGTTTCAATGATTCATTTATGTGAATGCAACGATTCCAACAAGTGCATTTCACCCCACATACGACAGCGCACCCATAACTCTGCGTGCTTATTATATTTTCTTATTATGAAACTATCCTAGACATTGACTGGATCACAAGCTTGCATCGTTCTTGCCTTCTTATATTTGTCGAAGGAATGCTAGCTCTAAATTCTAATCGTTCATTCCACTGGCAGCAAGAACCAGTCCGCACCTGCAGCTACAGCACACACGCGGCCATTGACTATATATATACTACAACTTGTACTACTACTTGTAGTATATATATAGTCAATGGCCGTGTGTGTGCTGTAGCTGCAGGTGCGGACTGGTTCTTGCTGCCAGTGGTTCATTCACCCAACATCCACCAGCTAGTACTGTTAAATACAGAAAAGGTGGAAAGTATTGTAACGGAAGAAATTTATTTTCTTAAGGATACTCTCCACGTTGTGCATGAAATTTCATCGATTTTTCGTTTTCAACTTTATTCGATGGCTAACACTATATGTGCCACCTGTGTACACGCTCAATGTTCTCTTTATAAGGTACATGTGAACTGTCAGAGCGTTTTTGCTTGCTTGGGTACATGTGTAGTAAGCAGCGGCTGACACATGATACAACCACAATATTAACTATAGCCAGTATCATTCAGCATCAACCCTGCTACAGCTGTCATTACATGTATTCATGTACATTCATGTACATCTGCTAGTGATCCAACAAGTATCCCTCACCCAAAATAGTTCTAACACCTCGCAACACACCCTTACTCTAGTGCAGTCCAAGGCAAGCGTTTGTTGACATATGTGATCCAGTCTATGAAAACCCAGCTAAAGTCATTTTTTTATGATTACCTGTTTCATAGATATATTCAATCTATATGAAGTAAAGAATATTCTGGGAAAAGGGCATACATATAGCTTTAAAACTGACCGAGTAATGCAATGTCAAACATTTGGTGGATTTTGGCGTCCGGACAACAAGATTTTGAGAATTATCTGATTTAAAAAAACATATTTTTTCTATGCCCCATTACAATTTTACCAAAAGTGAGTTTGTATGGATGAATTAAATCATATTTTTTCATACGCTCGCTGCTCACCTGCTGCTGCTGCTGCTGCTGCTGCTGCTGCTGCTTCTGCTGCTGCGGCGCGCGCGCGCCAGCATCGTCTGCTGCCTGCTGCTGCATCACTAATGAAGCCAGCGTGAAACGTTAACACGCGCGCCTCGCACTCACGCTGACACGGTGACGCCGCGTCCGCTATAGGTGGCGGCAGAGAGGGTCGAGGAGGAAAAGGCAGCCGCGAGAAGGGCGGGAGGGGCAGCGGGCGTGTGGAGGCAGTGAAAGCCGGGTGAGTAGCGGGGGCAAGGTCGTGGGTAAGGCAGCGGGAGTGGAGAAGGCATGGAAAGCTAGGGGAAGGTGGGGGAAGGTAGAATGAGTGGGTAAGTGAGAAGAAGATAGGAGCGCATAGCTGGGGGTAGTGGAGAGGTTGATGAGGAAATGATTGAGAGAGGCGAAGAGGGTATTGGAGTAGAGGAAGATGGGTAAGGCAGTGGGGAAGGCAAGCCGAGTGTGGGAGGCAGAAGGAGTGAAGAAGGCCAAAGTAACGTAGAAAGTAGAAGGATCGAGGAAGTCCTACGCTGGAGAAAGCAACGACAGGGAAAGTAGGCAAAGCGTATGTCCCCACCTTCTCCATTGGCCTGCTCCCTCTCGCTCTCCCTCTCCTTCCGTCTCACGGCTTACCCTTACACTTATCTACATGCGAATTTCGCAGTCGCAGAGTTCCGCCAGGACGTATAATAGTCGGTATAATGTGAGCACGCCGCACCGCAAGCTCGTGGCTGTAGGCAGACGTTAGACGTGCACGAGGTAGGTCTAGAACTATAGCTCTTCGCTCCGCCACATGCGGGCGCCCTGTGACGGAACGAAGGACTATAGTTCTAGAGCTACGCACGAGGCAGCTCGCTCTCACACACACGGCCGCGTATAATATATGCCATGATATAGAATTACAAAAGAGGCGGCCTGGCAGTTCGCACGTGTCGTTAGCTACGCGTTAGCTGGGCGTTAGCTAGGGGTTAGCTGGGGGTTAGCTGGGGGTTAGCTGGAGATTGGCTGGGCGTTAGCTGGGCGATAGCTGGGCGTTAGCGGGAGATTAGCTGGGCGTTAGCTGGGCGATAGCTGGGCGTTAGCTGTGGGGTTAGCTGGAGATTAGCTGGGCGTTAGCTGGGCATTAGCTGGGGGTTAGCTGGAGATTAGCTCGGCGATAGCTGGGGGTTAGCTGTGGGATTAGCTGTGGGGTTAGCTGGAAGGTTAGCTGGGGGTTAGCTGCGCGTTAGCTGGGCGTTAGCTAGGCGTTAGCTGGGGAACGTCCTCTCCTCGAGTGCCCGCACCGAGACGCCGACACCGCGACCGACCGACTAGCGGCATTTTCACTTAGATGTTCGATTCTTTCCGCTGCGTTATCGACCCGGTTAAAGCGTCGGCTTACGCGCGCAGTGAAAGACGACGCAGCGAGAGGCGATGCAATAAAAGTTTCCTATGTCGCCGGACAATTCGAATAGCGAAAAGCTTTAAGAAGATTGACAACAACAATGTGAATTTAATAGACTTACGGCGCTCTTTCGCGGCTCTCTCTCTCTCTCTCTCTCTGTGTGCGCGCGCGCGCGCGCGCGCGCGTGTGTGTGTGTGTGTGTGTGTGTGTGTGTGTCCCGTTTTATCTACACTACGACTCTTTTTAAACCACACAACACCACTCACACCACAACACACACACACACACACACACAGCACACACACACTCACACACACACACTGAGGTGAGCAATTGTTTTGGGTGGACACAGCACGTCAGCACGACACACACACACACACACATACATACACAACATTGAGGCACACACACACACACATACACACATTCAGCACACACACACACACACACAAACACACACACACACACACACACACACACACCACACACACACACACACACATACACACATACATCACACAGCACACACACACACACACACACCAACAGTCACACACACTTATCACACACAACACACACAGTTGCGTTTTACACACCACACACACCCCCACACACACATACACACATTAAATACTACATCACCCACAGCACACACACATACATACACAGACAACACACACATCACACACACACACACACGACACACACACACACACACATCATCACACATATATATATATACATCAACACACACACACACACACACACACATATATATATATACATCACAGCCATACACACACACATACACACCCAGCATCAACACATACACAACAGCACACATACACATACCCTACACACACACACAGACTATACACACTACATCACAGCACTACACACACACACATACATAACACACACACATACACACACACACACACATATACACAATATCAAGCACACACACAGACACACACAGTACATACTACAGCGCACACAACATACACACATATACAACGACACACAGCACACACACACAACGAACACACAAACACAGCACACACACATCATAGCCCCCACAAACATAACACACACACACAGCACACACACACACTACGACACACACACCACACACATAACACACACATTATATTATACACACCACATACACACCACACACATACACTCCCACATACACACACATACACACACACCCCCACATTATACACAACATACACACACACACACATCACACACACACACCACACACACACACACACACATCAGCATACATAGCACACACATACACACACACACACACATATATACAGCATACACACATTTACACACACACACACTACAGCATCACAGTTGTGACCACACATTCCGTTACACACACACCAGGCACACACACACACACACACACACATACACACACATCACGACACACACACAACACACACACAACACACATACACACACACACACACACACACACACACAGCACGACATACCACACACACAATACATACATACACACCAGCACATACACACACACACACACACACACACACGCACCACACCACACACGCCACACCAGCATACACACATACAGCACAGCCAGCCACACACCACGACACACACACTAACACAACACACACACCACAGCGCACCACATACATACACACGCACACAGCACACACACACCACACACACACATAGCATACACACAAACGACACCACAGGCACACACAGCGCACATACACTACACACCAAGCACACACACACATCACACCCACGCACACACACACACACACCCACACACGACACATCACACACATATACTACACAACACCACGATACACACACACATACACCACACACACACACACCCAGCACACACAACCATGTCACACATACA